CTCAATTTAACCCTCCCCTCCCCTTCCCCCACCCTCGGTAACCACAAGTTTGTTTTCTATGTCTGTGAGTCTGTCTCTGTTTTATAAATAGTTTCATTTGTGTCAAAAGATGTACTTTTAAAGGCAACTCACATGGTTCTGATGCAAGCAATGACTGCCAGGTGGAAGATATCCACCACATCTTGGCTTGGAGCTTAAATGGCGAGTTACTTCATATTTGAAAAGAATTTAGGGCAGAAAATAGTACAAATAATATGTTCTGAGGTAGAAGCAAGTCCCTGACATACTGTCAGGTGGAAAAACAAAGGAAGCTAATAAAGAGTAAGTAGAAGAATAAATCCATCTATTTCCACAATTATTTCTATTCACTTCTTTAACCACCTCTTTCTGAAATGATGTACAGCAAGAGATATGGAGTAGAATGCAAGGACATTTCATATCTCTGGCTACACATTTTCTGTCTCTGTGAAGGATTAAAGAATAATTTCATTTTTCACCTTAAGAGAATTTTTATTATTTTACTTGTATGTGATTTATAACTTTTCCAGAATGAACGTGCATTACTTCTTTGATGTGTGACAAAACAGTCACAAATCTATTTTAAAAGTCAGTGGCTCTCATTTATACCTATGATCGATTTAGCTCTGGTTTACCCACTGATGTTTCAGGCATATGGTGTTCATGGGTTAATGCTGAAACAGCAGCTTGTCTCCAATGCTGCTCTAAAATATTGCTTTATGAAGCAACACAGAAATAAAATAGGCCTGGGACTCAATGAAAACTGACAGACGGGAGGGAAAAGAAAAGCAAAAACAAGTCAACCCCAAAGGCTGTCTGATGGACTCACACGTAGTACAGTCTGCCCCAGAGAGGATAATAGGAACACGCACACACACAGTGACAGGAACCCAGGACTCCGGGGGAGGAGACCAGGTCACATGCGTACGCAGACTTTCTGCTTGCTTGGAATGCACAGAACTTTCTAATGCTGATTTCCCACAAACCCCCACCGCACTCCTGGGATGCCTACCTGGCTCCAGTGTAACATGTTTTGCACAGAAGTTCCGGCAGGACAGTGTGTTGTATACACAGGCACTCTAGACTGCAAAATAAATACATGAAAATAAAGAATGAAAACAGCATGAAGGAGGCATTGATAATAAACATATTTTGCACCTGGAAGCATTAAAAACTACCAAGCCACAATCTCATGTACATGAGATAAAAGCAGGAAAAAAAATCCTTT